TGAGTGAGTGGTATGTGGGTTGGTGCCCCATCTTCAGTTGTTCCCTGCCTTGCGCCCCTAGCTTCTGGGAGAGGCCCCAGACCCCTGCGACCCTGAGTAGGACAAGCCGTTACAGAAAATGGATGGATGGATGGATGGAGGATTTGAATTAGAACCAGCTCTGAAGAGACTGAAAAATTATGTCATGAGAAGGATATTTTGATGTTTTAAAACAGGTAAGAGTATTTATACAACCTTGGGTTGATTTTGACTTTAACCTAAGTTAATCCTAAGAACACCCTGCTCATTTGCCTTACAGACATGCTTGAGGTGGCATGGTGGTGCAGTGGTTAGCACTGTTGCCTGGTGCCTCTGGGACCAGGGTTTGAGTGTCCGCTGTGGGTCTGTGTGTGCATGGAGTTTGCATGTTCTCCCCATGTTGTTGTGGAGTTTCCTCTGGGTACTCTGGTTTCCCCTCCCCCCCCCCCCCCCAGTCTGAAACCATGCTGAGATTAACTGGAGTTACCAAATTGTTTGTAGGTGAGAGTGTGCCTTATGATGAGTTGGTGCCCCATCCTGGGTTGTTCCCTGCCTTGCACCCATAGCCTCTGGGAAAGACTCCAGATCCCCATGACCCTGAATAGGACAAGTGGTTTCAGATAATAGATGGATGGACAAACAAACTTACCCACACGCCACAGTCTCACACTTACAGGCATCCAGCAAGCAAACATTTTGCTCTCGCTTCACTGGGAAAGGTGTCCGCCCTGTTCCAGAACATAGCGGAATGCTCTGCTACTGAAAGGCTCCATACAGTCTACAGTATCTCTCAATCTTCAATTATTTATGCTTTGGCTGGAATCCACATTATGCTGTGAGGCATTTTATTAAAATCCAGCGAGCGAGGAGGCCCTTCATATATCACAATCCAGCAGAAGGGAAGATAAGGTAGTAGAGAGAGGGGTTTGAGTAGATAATTCACCCCTTAGTAAAGGGCCAGCTCTCTGGATGGGAGTGGGACCCCTGTGTTATTTTCAGGGGATTTTTTGATATGTGTAACCTCCCCGGCCCACATTGCTGCCTCCTCACCAAAGTTAGGTCCTGAAAATGAGCAAGCGAGACGAGCAACCAGGCTACAGCCCTACCTGCCAAGTATTTATTAACAGAAAAAAGGCTTCCTGCAATAAAACATCGGTCAGGCTGGTCAGTTGGTTCCAGCATGCTAAACACCAAACAGTGTATGAGGCAGAATCTGAACCTGAACTTCTAGGTAAGACAGCTGTGACTTCCTGCCCAATTAGTAACAGTAGGACACATACCTGTTCTTTTGAATGTAGAAGCAAAACTACAACTACATTGAACTCCACACATATGGATCTATCTGGTTTAAGCACATTCTAGATATATGCAGAATTTTATCCAGCGTTACATCACATGGACAGCAGGAGATGCAATGGCCCATGGTAGTTAGCCTGAACTGCTTTAATAGTTATAAATACAGTTTCTGTAAAAAGTGTAAAAGATGTCAGAAATGCATAGAAAATACACTTAGAATGTCCCTATTGGAGGATAAGGCTCTATTCTCATGGGCATCTGACAGACTTTGAGTAACCAGTCATGTATGAACTGTCCCACTGATCTCTGTGATAACGACTAAGGTCAGATCAGGGTGCCAGGCACCTGTGGGAATGACGTTGCGCCCCATCAGGAGGCTGATGTCATGGTAGCCAAAGCAGAACATTGGTGAAGCCAGGAGAAACATTCTCATTCTGAAAGCTGTTGCTCTTATCAGTCATATGTAATTTAAAAGCTTTTCTGGACTACAATAACTGAATAAATAAATGAACCCACAGCATAATTAGTACAACCTTATAATAAATACTCTTCCTTGGCAGTCTTACTTTCAGCAGAAAAATGAACAGGTAGCAGTATAATAAGGACTGCATCAGCAAACCTTGTGCCCTATGCCACCTGGGATCGATTCCAAGCCTGCTCTGACCAGGATAAGCAATTGGAAGATAGATGGATGGATGGATGGCTGCATCAGCAAGCCTGGCATGGCTTCAGAGGCAGAGCGGTGGCGGCACACAGAAGATGACCTTCAAGAATTCCCCAAGACATATTAAATGCCCCACTGGCAGAGAGCCGTTCCTTTGATGCCCATTCCAGCCTTGCTCTGCTCGAGGCTTGATCCTATCATGTCATCCTGGGAGATGTACCTTCACCAGGGATGTCTTCGTGGATGAACTGACAAGTCCCTGCAGTTTTCATACAGTGTGCTAATCTTTAGGCCTCTGGAGTGTATGATTATCAGGAATATAGTGCAGAATCATTCATTTGTCTATATCTAGAGTAGAGATCTGCACCTTGGGGGCCTCTAATGGCCCCTTTCTTCACCCCCTGTCATCTTTCTAGCTTTGGGTCATCTTGTTTCACATCTGTCTGTGCCGTGTCAATCTCACTGCAGACTAGTGCTGCCAGCTCTGAAATGCCTGCTTTTACACCATGACAGTCCTCCTTTTGCCTCCCTTGGGGGAAGAGGGATCACCATGGCCCAAACAGCCTCCTTTTCCTCGCCAGGGGGTTTGTGTACCTGTTCAGCCCCTCCTCCTTGAGCTAGAGGCCCAGCCTCCTGGCCAGTACAAGTCTCCCACCAGGAAAGGGACCATGAGTCTCCCAGCCACCCTGCCCAGGTGTCTCTGTCACCATGCCACCTTGTTTCCCCCCATTGATCTGTAAGCTCAGGCACGTCGCTCACAGGGTGAATGAGGCCGGCACTGCGAGCCTGCAGAGCACAGTCCACATGAAGTAATCACTCTGACACCTCCACAATGGCCGCCTTAGCACAGAGCTCACATGCCGCACGCTCCACTTCCCCGCCTCATATTCTCTAATGACAAAATGTTTGTTTAAAGCGGGTGGATTTGTGTCTCCCCATCCAGGGCTTACGTGGTTCCGGGCTCTGCCGGGTTTCAGACAGCTAACAAAACACATCGCACTCCTGCCCCGCCAACTGTCCCATGCGCTTTCCAGACATAAGAAAATCGCTGCGAGCTGCAAAGCAACATATCAGGAGCCGCCAGAGCCTGCTGGGCTCGCAGCTGAACTTCATTCTGAGTTTGAAATGTAGGTTCTTGCTGTGTTTGTAGTATATCGTTTAGCTCCATTGCAAACTTACATTAGTTACTGGTCTCTCATTGGCTCAGCCTGGCTGCACTTATGCCTGGTTGCCTCCTTGGCAGCTGTATGTTTGTGATGTAATATCCAGCTCGCTTAGGTGTCACTTTGAACAAAAGCAGCTGCTGAATAAATAAATGTAAATGTAATGAATTAAACTGATTAGACCACAGACGCCTGCCTTTGACACTGGTGGTCCCTTTGCTATTCCACGTTTCACAAGTTACTCTACTGTTTCATGCTGTTTTATTAACACTCCAAAGTAAACATGAAAAAATGAGTAAATGTACAATGCTGGCAGCAATTGCAAGTAAAACTAAACTTAGGGACAGGAATATGAGATTCACTTCTAGGGGTTTTAGGCCTGCTGTTAGGACTTCTGCAGGTTATTGGGGTCAAAAGAACCCGCAACACCCCAAAACTAGATTAACTTTAATAATCTACTCCCCCTCCAGATCTTTTTAAAGATCTGATGTTTTAATCGAAACCTGAATTTCAAGCATGTAATTTCTGGGGATGACCCGGGCCTTTACAGCATGTCAACTTCTGCAACTTGTGAGCTGAATGTTTGGTGGAAGCATCTTTGGCGGAGATCACAGCCGCAAATGTTTTTGAGTAAGTCTCTACCAGTGTTGTGCTCTGGATTGGTACATTATTCGCCCGTTCATTTTGGCAGGTTTTCTCAAGCTTTCTCAAATTGCTTGTGGATCGCTTATGGACGGCAATTTTCAAGTTTTCCCACAGATGCTTAAGAGTTCAAGTTAGGACTTGAATAGGCAATGTAAGGATGTCTGCATGTTAACCGACCCCCATATAGTGTGGGCGGTACACTTTTGGCGGTACTGATCTTTTTCCTAGGGCATTTTACTGTGGAAAGGCCCAGACATGGCCTAGGCCAGACCATCCAGCATTGAAACTGTGAGATTTGTATGAAGTTTGAAGCAGCTGCAGCGGTTAATATTTGCGATGGGGAAAAAAACGTGCATCGTTGTTCTGTTACAGTCTCCAAAATGACAGACCGAAAGATCGAGTTTTATATACAGCAGCCAAACCGATAGAATTGGAAGAATCTTTGCTTTAAATGTGCTGCTGAGTTCAGCTCCTCACAAATTCTCCATCTCATGACCATAAGGTTCTGGCACATATAGAATGAACCTTTGAAAAACCTGCTAAATAGCGGGATCCATTTGCATTCACTGCTCAACCGACTTGTTTAGGCTCATATTCTATCAAATCAGGCCCAAATTGTCCTGGTTTCCAAGCTCATCATAACTAAACGACCCATCAGACCTGGCAACAGATATACCACAAATGATGGCAAACACATGTCGTGTACAAACTAGTGTTACAGTCAGCACTCCCTTTGTTTTAATTATTAATGACTTTATGAATTTATGTTTCTTTAGTGAAGCCAATGTCTGTATTAAGGGTGGTTGGAACTTTGGAACAAGACGCATTTTTTCCATGGATGTTGGGCCAAATTTTTAAAAAGACAATGGCAAACATATTACAGAAAGCATTCTAATGTTGAGGAGTAACTGGAGTTGAGGTCTTCACTGACACTGTTCCACACTGTCATACCCATGGAAATCTCTACTTCAACCAACGAGCACGTAAGCTTCACAGGACTGGCCAATCAGCAAATTTGTACTGGAGTTTAGTATGTACATGACCATTTTCATTTTATGTACAATCAATCCAGATCATGCATATTGGTCAGGGCATATAGATACCAGATGCAGTGTTACAACATAAAAAGAACAGTTTGAGTTTAGGTAGTTTGGTGACAGAAAAACCCTAATAAGAACAAATAAGTAAAATGATTTGTTTTAAACAGTTTAATTATAATAATGTTATTAAGCGAAATGGTCCTGTGCATTTGAAATACAATGTATCATATTTCAACCACATTTTCAGGATATCGTTAGCTGTGAGAATTGAAAAACTGATCTCCTTAAGTTGAGAATTTGATATAAAGAAAATATATTACTTTGATTTCAGGAAAACCATAGTCACATCTTTGTTATATATATTAAAATATCTTTTCCAGACACTGCTAAAAGCATAGAGGAATCTCAAAGCACATCAAAGAGGCTGTTTGCGTAACCGTCAAGTGCAGGATGGTGTGTTCAACCTGCCGGTGCTGTGCCCATGGACAGAACCATAAACAGAGAGTGGAAAATTTAAAAGCCGTGCCTCACTTGCCTCTGCAGATCAGTGTGGCAAGAGAATGCAAAACCAGGATTTATACATTTTCAAGCAATTAGTCTTTTAATAAAACAATAAATGTTTATATTTACAAAGTAATAAATTTCTATATTCTGAATTTTACTATAGACAGCTGGCTTGATTATGTCAATAAAGCAGTGGTTGTTATGAAAACTAAATAATGCAAAAAGTCCTAACTCAAAGTAAACAATTTACTAATATTACTAATATTATTTATAACTGAGCTATTATAATAATTCTCCAGAGTAAATCTCCTCTGGTTCGCTCTATGTACACTAAGTATAAAAGAAAAACGTATGAACTTTTTGAGTCAAATTTTCAGTTTCAGAGCAAATTTTTTAGAAAACCAACTGTTTTGTCAAACTACCAATAACAACAATATCAATAACATTTGTTTCAGAATATAAATGATTTAAAGTGCAAAAAGTATAGACAGACATATATACATCATTATAAATATTCTTAATATTACGATTGTATATGTTTCAGTACCACATATATAACTAACATTATACATATGTATATAAATTTTAATTAAGTTTCATTCATTAGCCGAAATTTGCCAAAATCCAGTGTCTTCTCAAACGAACCTCAGACAGATCTACTGTTTACAAAAAGCCACGACCCGGCTGGGCCCTTGGTTCCCTTTGGGGGTTTGGCTTGTGTCTATTGCCTGCTCCCGGGCAGGTGCCCCAGAGGCTGGGGAACACGAACCAGCAGGGTGGCAGAAGGTCACTAACAAGCATTTTTCGGGTGTGAGACCCTGAAGCAGCATGACGTTCGGTCGGTCGGTCACATTTATTTCAAACATTGCTCAGACTGATTGATTTCTTTTCAGCTGAGTGGTATTGGATTCTTTTTATAGTCAGTGCAGAACTGGACAGCGAACCCAGAGTCATCGTGTTCGCATTTAATGGTACAAGAGATGCAGGGCAGGAAAAATGTGAACCATCATCTTCTCTTATAATGAGACAGAAAGCAGAAAAGCGTTGCACCTCCCAGTCACCAGCTACAGCGAACTGAAACAAATGTGTCTGTATGAGAAATGCAATGCATTGTGGGTAGGTATCTGAATTCCACACATCAGTAGCAATGTTATTGTTCAGAAAAGAGCAGTGGGGACGGGGTGGTTTAAATGATATGCACCTTCAAATATAATCTCTAAAAAGTTTCTTTTTACACTTAGTACGAAATAAGACATTTCTACCCGTTAGTGCTTTGTTTAAAGATACTATAACATAAATAAACAAATTATTTTCAGTGTTCGAACAGTCCCAGTGTGACTGGATAGCTAACATACTCCACGTTTTTCCAGTTGGCATAAGGCTTACTGTAGAGATAAATCCCATTGAGGCTAATTCAGCGCATGAAGGGTGCTAAGTTAATGTAGCGTTCTTTGTTTTGACAGCTCATAAAAAAAGCAATGTCCATGGATTTTTAATAGTCAGGCCTGCTCTCCCTTGCAATTCCTTTAAGTTAATTAGACTAAAGGCTGACCATTACACTACAGGACTGTTAACTTTGTGTTCTATCAAAAAAGCAGGTGATGTGATGTTTCACAACATCCTTCGGAGTTAGTCACTCTGTGCCATTTTTACAAGCGTTCTGTAAAGGTGAGGAACTACAAATCCTAGAATGCACTGCACAGGTCCAGGGCACCATTTTTATCCTGTGAGTCAAGTTGGGCTTTTACCTATGGATGTTTTATCTATTGACACTTTAAAGCAAACCGAGATTCTTGTGTGCAAAACAACGCCATAGGGATTCCACATTGTAAATTCCATTTGTTTTCGTTCATCGCGTTCTTCGAGAAACACCGCCGACCCCGGCCTGGGCCCTACTTGCAGGTGAACACCTCCGTCCGCTCACTGCAGGTGTTGCACTTGACAAAGCAGCACCACTGGAACTTGCAGTTGCACTGCCACACCTTGGTGTACTGATGCGTGTTGTAGCCTCTTCCACAGCACATGAGGTCACAGCCATCTGTGTGTGGCGATGTGCGGTTGCACAGGCGCCCTTGCGTCCCCACGCTGCCCGTGGCGGCGTCCTCTTCGCAGTAGTTCGGTGAGCGCTCAATATAGACTAGGTCCGTCTCCATGGGCTTGCGGTAATCTGGGCTCTTCTTGACCTTCAGGAAGGTGGGCTGCCGCAGCCGGCTGGCCCGCACCACCTCTACGTGCACCGCCTCATTGTACTTCTCCTTCAGGATATAGCCAATCTCCCTGAACTTGGGCAGCGTTGTCCAGCAGGTCTTGGTGGTGCAGGATCCTGAAACTCCATGGCACTTACATTCCAGTTTCATGCGCTCCTCCAGAACCTGGGAGAGACACTTGGCATTAGAGAAGTACGCAGCCACTTTGACTGTCATCATTCTCAATCAGAACAATCTCTAACACAAGCTACTTCAACATCATCATCTCCAATCGTCAGTGCCATCATTATTTTCAATCTCATTGTTACTTGATGGTAATCACTGCTCTTTTCATCATAATTATCATGTTCTTTACTGTCATCCTCACCATCAACACCATTATTACTATCATCCACATCTTCATCCTCACCATACTCATTGTTATCATTGACATCTTTGTCACTACCATCATAACCATCATCATCAAGAGCAGCATGATTATTCAGTCACCGCCAAAGCCATCATCATCAACATCATCATCAACAACATTGTGTACCAATATCATCAATAGCATCATCATAGTCATTTTAACTGTAGAGATTATGATCAACATTATTATTGTGATACAAGATTTAATCTGTAAAAAAGGTTGAAGACTCATTACTTCTGAGGTCTCTCTAGTCTAATAACTGGTGCCAACAGAGAAACAGAGGTCAAATATCAACAAGCAGAGTAGGTTGGGTAACAGAGGAGAAAAGGTCAGGCATGATGGAGCAGAGAAGGTCAGGTGTCAAAGAAGTTGGGAAGGTGAAATATATGAGGAGGAGAAAAGGTCGTGAAGTGAAATTCTTTTCCATTTAGCTCAACAGTCCCATCAAAATGTCCATAATTAAGATGGCCGCTTGGCTGTGGAAGAGAAATGCAGAAGCCCTGGAAAGCCATCTCCTGGCAAGGGAAGAGGGGAAGACCTCAGAGTAAGTCCAGACGGGAAAGCACAAAGTTCATATGAGAGATGCCCAATTGCAGCCCGTTAAAGACACGGCAGCTTAAATCTCTGCACCTTTCAGGCGCACTTGCACTTAATCAGCATGTGAGCCAGCAAATAAAATGCTTCAGAGTGCAGCTTTGGCATGATTGTCCCCCTCCCTTGTACTGTTCTTACTATGGCTTTCAATTCAATGTGTCACTTCCCACTATAAAAAGGCAATGTGCAGTTTACTTATAGTAAGAATTCATAATTGGGGTTGGCGTCTCTCATAATGTTTCTTTTCAGACATACTCATACATTTTTATTGAATGTCTTAAAAGAAATTGCACATAGTATTCCTAAGTTAATCATGTTATTCTAAGGAACAATAAGCTTGCATTGTAGATCTCAATGCCTAAAACTTTGTTTTGTACGCAAACTATTATGTTGCTTAGTACATTTTACAAATGGGGCAACAACAGTAAAGATGTCGCCTTTGAGGTTGGTTCTCTAGGCGGGAGGTGGGGGAGGGGGCACTAATGTTAAGCATCTGCAACCCTGTGTTCATATATCCACTGCCGGCCTTCATGAAGCTTGACTATGTTGTTGTGCACACATACTCCTCACTGTTCTTTAGGTCAATAACCCCTGTGCTCTGTTTCTTCGAACTGTCCTAGCTTCCAAGCACTTCATAACTAAACAGCCCATCAGACCAGATTTGTTTTTACTGCGGCGTGGCACACGGGATGCGCTTTTGGATTTAAAGTTTTTGTAAACGGGTGGAAGAAGTTGGAAAAACCATGAATGCCATCTTTGTTCGCTTCGATTCGCACTGAGATAAACATGACGACAGTGGCCTTTCTTAATTGTGCACAAATGTTTTTCTGTGTTTATATACAATATAATTATAAGCCACAGTTTCTGGTCATCTATCTATCTATCTATCTATCTATCTATTTTTGTTCAATGTGCAATCTAGATATGATATAACCACGGAATGTTTCAGATTTGCTCCAACTCCAATAAAGAATCAACAGTAGGGGGAAATTAAGTAATTTTAATCGCTTACAGACCGTCTAATATATTATAGTTAGTAGGCATTTTTAAAATGCAGTTGCACATGAAATAAACCTAAATCCTGTTTAAAATATTTGAGATTCTAAAATGCTCCTTCTTGCCAGTAATATGTCAGACACATGGGGAAAACACCATTATTGGTGACATCCTGCTCTGTAATTCTCTGTACCTTCCAAAAGACCACATCAGTGCTGGGGAAAAACAAATATAAATCTCATTTCACTGTGTTCGTATACTGTTACACTCTACTTAAATATGGAGCACGTTTCTACTTGATGTGCCGCAGATACGCTGCTCATACGCACTCCAATGATGACCATTAACCGTTTACATCTGGATCGCAGTGTGCTTTGGATGCTGCGCCGACCATCGAAATATTGAAAGAGAAGCAGACCGATGGAGGGAGTGTACAGTTCAGGGTCTGTTTTAGAGATCAGTGCAATAATAAGGCTTTTGAAGATTGAGAACTAGTCGAAAAATCATGCAGGCTGTAGGTTTTAAAATACGTACGATTTCACGACAATTTTACTTAATTTTAGTTTGATGTTATTTTTCTTTTTTTTTAAATTTCTTTTAAAGTAAATTGAAATGCATTCATAATTTGTCCCAAACTGGTAGTCTATTTGTAAGAATACTGAAAACAAACTACATGAAGATGTAATGCAGCAGTTTTCAGTAGTGTGTAGTTGCGGGCTTAGATTCATCGCGATAGGGGAAAGTCACGCCTACGACTACTTCAGGACATCGGAGTCTGACATTTGTTATGGCATCGCCATTTATATGATGTAACCCTGGCACCACTTTTTCTTCTCATCTACACGCGAGTAGTGCGGAATAACCAGGCTGTTTCGTCTGTGCGAAATCCGAGGTTCAGGGGTCCACTGGCGTAAGGTAACACAGGGGCTACACGCGGGTTCTTAAAATAACGTTATTCGGAGTAATAAATGGATTTATCTAGACCCTCACATCTACAAGGAACAAAGTCATTGTCTTGGAGTGAAATACGGCTAATGGCAGGGATATGAGAGGGTAATCAGGGGGTGGGCAATGGCATCAGCTAGAAATCCTGCCTTGCGTGTCGTCGGAGAACTAGGGCGTCCCAGGAACTTACAGCACAGACCGCAATTATTGTTCCTTATGGAACCCCCCTGCTTTTTGTATAGTTGGAAGTGTTTATTTAACATTGTCCATCATAGTCTGTCTCCTGCTACCAATTAGTAAAAGACCAGAAATTCCTAGCTGCGATCGTTCACGTCAAACACACAGTGTACTTAGGAGGAGTTGCAAGAAATTGGATTCATGTGGATGTAATTGCTCATCTGGCACTAAAGTGAGTCTCCTTTTCTACTCATAAACCATCATTCCTGCGCAGGGCTCTGCAGCTCCGCGCTGATGGATATTTAGCGTCTCCAGTTCTGAAAAGCATTTTAGTCCGTTTAAATGTAGCCTGTTCTACTAAACAAATGATCGTGCCTACAAATGTTCGACAGGCTGGAACACAGAGAAGGACACTGCTGCAGAGAAGTGCACACTCAGATGTGTTACAATAAAAAAAATATATATATAGTATATATATGTATATACGTGTGTGTGTGCGTACATATATATACATATATATATATAT